AAAGGAGGTAAATACACACAACTGTGTGAGTGTGTGTGTGTGTGTGTTTGTGTGTGTGTGTGTGTGTGTGTGTGTGTTTATGTGTGTGTATTACAAATTATTAGGAGTTTGCATGGACTTTAATTCATTGTGGACAACCAAACCAAAACCGTACCCCCCCCAGGACCTCAGAAATAAGTAGTTTCATTACGACTGAGCTTTGGTCCCCATGAGCTACACTAGTCCTAACAAGGTCTGTGTAAATGCTTGAAGAGGTCCTGAAGAGGTAAAAAAAACAATTTTAATACAGCTGAAAACAAAGATAGACCAACTAGAGAGAGAAAGACTTTTATTAGAAAATGATGACAGCCCTACAAGACAAATTTAGCCAGCATCTGCACAGGAAACAAAATAAAAACCAGGATGAGATTCCTTTTCACAAGATTTTGGAGAACACTGGGCAAAACAAGCATCATAGAAACTAAAATGTGGTACTGAAAAACATACCAACACAAGAAGAGTGTACTCAGCAGCTTTCCACATGAAAGAAAATAAAATTTGTCCAGGGATTAGTGTGACATCTTGCTCTGATCCTTCCTTAATAAATCCACAGATCTCGCACAATCCGCTCTCCAAAGGCTGTTTGTGTGATCCCGTCCGTTCCACAGTCTCCAAACTTCAACAAACAAAAGGCTCCTAAAATAAAAATCCTTAAACTGCCTTGCGGTGGTACTCTGGAGGGGCAACTTCATAGTCACTTGCATTGAACAGCGAAGCTGAGTTCTTTACAAGGTACCTGGAACAGAGCAACATTTAACTCATTATTGCTGCAGATGAATCAATATGAGTTTTTATTCACAGCTTTGTGAAACCTTGAGAACTCACTTGAGAAAGTCTTGTAGATAACTGAGCAGGAGTGCAAGGCTCTTCTCGTCCAGCGGAGTGTACGCCAGCATGGCTCCGATTCTCACTTTCAAAACCAAACAAAAGAGTTACAACCGGTTACCTTTATTAATAATACCTTTCTATTTCCACTTCACTGGTTCAATTCTTATAAAGCAGCGCAGAACACAGGTCATAGAGCTAAGAAATGTGAATATTGATCTTTACTGTCTGCACTCTTGTGCATTTCTTCAGTTTCTTTTCTATGTACAACAAACAATTAAAAAGCAGGTAAGGAAGCTGTTCTGCTGGCTTGAAATGTACAACAGTTCAGATTTAGTTTTATATGTCCATCTCAGTGAAGTCAGTGTTGATATTATCCAATTTGAAATTTTTTTTTTTTGAGGCAGAAATCAAGCTCATGAGTTAAACATCAGAAAAGTCACCAGTGTCTAAGGAGGCAGAGATTTGATTGCAGATATGGCGTTACATCCTGTCGAAATGGAAGCTACAGTTTCATGTTTTTAAAGCTTACATGAGGGTTCAGTAGTAAGCTTGAGACTTTTAAGGCTTAGGCTGAGTATCAATTTACATCATATCAAGGGTAACTTTTGATACCCAAGTGCATCCGGATGAGAGGGTAACAAGAGGATAAAAGAGAAACAGAGACTAACGTGGGTGTGCACAAAAGCTAAAGACAAAGAATAGGTTAAATTGATTGACACAGCGAGAGGCAGGGCACTGGTGAGGACTATGTTGTTAAAAGATATTGCAACAGCTTTTGTACCGAAGAGTCTGAGTAGATGAGGAGCGCCGTAGATCTGAGACATGGATGTATCTGTGTGGTTGGCCAGGATGTCTGCATACTGCGGCCTCTCAAATTTGTAGAGAAGTTGTGTCCCCAGCATGACGTTGAAATATTCCCGGATACCAGCAACCACTTCATTCACAGCAAATTCCCTGAGCGGGGAAAAGAAGAACACTCTTGATCTTTACAACACAGAGAACTGGGAAATGAAGATAAAAAAGGATGTCATGTTTTTGGACTTCCTATGTCAGAATGTGAAAAATGAGTATTTTTACTTGCTGTCAGAATTTCCTCTTGATCTCTTGTAGTTTGCATAATCTTCAAGAACTGCATCAATGGTCTTTTTGGCAGGTAGGTGGAAAAGCTGACAACATAAAACAAAGAGACAAAATACACATAATGTGACAACGTTAATAAATAAAATGCTGTGAAAACTGTTTCGTCTTTAAGTCACTGGTTACTTACCTGTTTTTGCCGTGTAATCAGGTCCCAGTCATCCACAAGCCACGGTTTCAACTCCTCAGGGATTTTCACTTTAACCTCCACTCGATTGATGAAAGTTTCCTCCTAAACAGATTTAAGAAATTAGACTTTTTCTATGAAACAGCTTTAACACATTAAAGAGCAAATTAAAGGAACCACCAACCAAAACAATAATACCAACAGCTTAATAGATCTGTGAACTCACACTTTCAACAGTTGGGTCAACACGTGCCCTTTTCTTTCGTGGAGGGTGGGTTGGGTCTCCTCCTGAACTTGTACCTTCCCCTGGTCCAGGAGCTTCACGAAGACACAAATAATGCACTGTTATTGAATTCATACATTTAATAAATGTTTATTGCTACACCCCGCTATGACTGCAGTTATGCTTGTCTGATACAATTGAAACATTTGTGCAAAAATTTTGCAGAATATATTTTGGAGGGTTTAGGTTTATGCACATTAATAGTGTCAATAACAATTGCATACTTACTCTTCTGTTTGTTCTTTTTGGTTTTCCTACAAGAAAAAATATTAGTATAAATATTAAAAATGAACAGGTATCACACATGTTAAACAGTTTAGCAGTAAGCATCACAGCAGCTGACAATTAGAATAACAAATGACTTGCACTCACACATCGTTTTTCTGCGATGGAGGAGGTAACTTCTTATTCGGTGCAGCCCCCCTCATTCTTCCTTCTACATAATGGTCTCTAAAATAAGAAAGCAAAAATTGCATTCATTACAAACATTTAGGAAAATTGGGTCATGACAGTTTGTCTTTCACACATGAAGAACGCAGCCGGAGATTGTCCGGATCAGACATGTTCACAAAAACAACAACCAAAATGTCCAGAGTATTCAGGTGAGTGGTGGTGTCTGGGTCGAGCATTCAGGAGGCGGGACCTGTCTGTATGTGTTTAAAGCACATCGACACCTGTGTCAGTTCTTACAGTATCTCATTGCCTTTCCACGTTAACGTTGTCGTCAGCATCTCCTACTTGTATGGCTCCTCTTTTTCATTCTTATATGTTTGTTTTGGTTTTTAGATTTGCGTCTGTTGCAGGTTAGAAACATTATCAACGCGCCAATTACTGTCAATTTTCCGAACATTTTCCTGCTGCATTCTTACTGTTATTTTCTGAACATTTTACCAGGGGGCTGGCAGGGAAACTTCCAGAAAATATCTGGTGCAACTGACTCAGATATTTTCAAATCTCTGCAATTCAGTGCATGTACAACATTAGGTGTTCTTTACTAAGTATTAAAATGATTACATTGTTCTACTAAAATAAAAAACTTATTTCTTTATATATTGGTTCTGTGGAGCTCATAATGAACTCCTCATAGTATGACATTAAAAACAGAGACTGCACTTACTGATTGGCCCTCTGAAGCTCTTTCTGTTTCTGCAGATTACTGTCCACATACTTTAGCACTCTGCTTTCAGGAACCCATTCGTCCCAGCTGGAGCAGAAAAAAGACCCCACAAAGGACGAAATCAAGCACATGTGAAATCTTCACAGTGCGAATCTTTGAGACTTGATTTAACTGAACAGAGAACTTACTTTTTATTCCACCCACTGTAATGAATAAAGTATTTGATCTGTTTGTCCTTGATGCTTATCTTCACACACTGCAGAGAGAGAGAGAGGATTTGTTATTAAAACAGGATGTCAGAGACACAGAAGATGATCACGTGATCAGAGGTTACTGTGTCAGCCTACCTTAGCTTCGTAGAGCAATGGCCCATGAAAACACAGCACTCTTTCACCTGCACACAGTGGTGGTCAATTAAAATCAGCATGGGAGGAAGCCAACTACACTACTTACACATACACACATGCTGAGAGTTCATTTAGAGGTTTCAGATTAAGTGAACACAAACAAGTCCTTTACAAGTCTTGGACATCAGCCAGCAACCAGCACCGATTTCGTTCCGGTGGACGAGAACAATCATTTCATCAGAAATCTAGTCAGTTTGTCAAACATGTGGAGACTAAGATCACATTTAATGAACTTAAGCCTTTTATCATGTAAGCCAAATCCAGAATATTCAAAGAACATGTGTAAAAAGGTTTGACTATAGGACGGTTCACTTTTTGTCCAAAGTCCAATCGATACTTTATCATCTCATCATTTATTTACATTGCACTCACTCAACCTCCAGTTACTTAATTGTTAAGCATTGTACCTGTCTGAATGTTAGCCTGTATGTATTGCTGCTTGTATGTGTTGATAACAAATCACTATATTTTCTAAAACTGACCAGGGACAACAGAGGGACATTAGCCTGTTGAGCTAACTCTGGCTCATTTACATTCATTTAGCTGCTGATCAATGAGCGTTGTCTCAGTCAAATAAATGAAATAAACAATTGTCCATCTCGAACCCTTTCTTTTTGATTGACCGCTCAGGGACCACGTAGGTCTTCACAGTGCTCTCAGGGTATTTGATGGAGAGCTGCAGCGATCTGTACAAGAGAAGAGGCGGCGGTGAGTCCGTGAACACCACATGAATGATGCTCCAGCTTTAAGCTAGCTGCCCACAACATGGCTGGAATTCAGAGCCCAGGCTGTGGCGCTGCCGGGCCTCGGCCGCCGCTGCACTGTGTTGTAAAGCCAAACACTTAACACGGAACCAATGTGGCGAACAAACGTGCTGAGGACTCTCTTCGTGTGCTCGCATCAACAATGAAAGCTAACGGCGCTAGCTGCTCGGCGGCAGCGTCACTGTCAGCTAGCGGCTAGCTAGCGGCTAACTAGCTAACGCTGCCAGCGGCCGCGGCTCTGAATGGCGGCGCGGAACCAGCCGGAGAGGAAACAGAGAGGTCGTTACCTTCTTGAAATTTAGGCTTCGGGTCCTGTTTCGGCGCCATTCACGGATTAAACTAACAAAATATGGGGAAAATCGCCAGCTCCCATTCCAGTCTGAGACGGCGCCGCTTTCTACATACGTCATGACCAATGCGGTGACGTATTAAAACTGCGACATGAGATGCGCCCTCAGACTCCAGGGTCTCGCGCTGTGAGATTGAAACTTTTAAGCATTTTATTCTTGGAATTAAAAAAAAGAGATTTCTGAAAAGAACCCAAATGAACAAGTACTGTCCCCAGACTGTCTGATGACGTCATCATGTCAAGTGAAGTGTGTTTGCAGGACAAACATAAGGAAAAGAAAGATACTTTAACAAGTGTAGCTGTGCAGTTTGTTGATAGATTGAGTTGATGGTGGACATTTGTAAATACAAGACCACTAATATGAATCGCTATGAATAAGTTCAACAATTATATAAAATAGAACTAAAATAAGTAAAAAAGAAAAATGCCTTGCTTATGCAATTTTAGTTCCTGATTCGATTTCTGACCCTTTTTCTCTCTCTCTGAATTTAGTTTGTCATTTTGCTGATGTTCATGTTTTATATCTTCATCCTGTGGCAGAGATTTTAATAAGTGGTTTGTTTTACGGAAGTAATCTCCTGGTTAAAAAATAAGTAGTGACGCCATCAATACTAGTTTTGCTGTTTTAAAAAAACCCCATTTTAAATCAAAGGAAATCTCCAGGATTTTTTATAAACAAGAAAAATTCATTTGTAAAATATGGGTTTCAGACTCATATTAAACTGCACTGCTATTATAAGGCTGCAAAATGACTAATTACCTCTGGTCTCAGGATATTTTACCATAAACTATTTCAGATATGCTGCAATGCATTTTTCACATCTACACATTAATTGCAGAAATTCTTTGGCTCTTTTATTTTATTTCAAGAAAACAAAAAATGTCATTACTGAGTGTAATGTAAAAGTTTACTTGATACCCCCAAATTAAGAAACAACACTTTAAGACATGTTGTCTGCAGAGTCAATTACAGTCCTGCCCCTGTGCCTCTTCCTCAGCAGCCACAGCGTGCAGCCAGACCACAAAAACTACAAATTCAGTACAGTGTTTCACGCAATGACAACAGACATCACACTTCCCTCCAAATTCTCACCTGTCTGTATTTAAAAATATATATTTAATAACATTAATTATGGCTTTGAATGGAACTGAGCAGACATCAATGCTATTATAGACATACAAGTTTTGTCGTTCCTGTAGATGTGTGTTGCAATAAAGCAGTCTGTTATAGAGCCAGAGATGTGCTGCAGTAAAATCATAAAATTTTAAAGCATTTAATTATCACAAATTAATAAAGTGTTACCTTTGAAAAAAAAGCATGTTATATAATAAAACTTTTGATTAGCATTTGATTGCTCGATAAACCCAAAGTCTAATGGTCATTACTGATGACTGATTAATAA